ATGTTAAGTAAAACAATTATTGATAACTTCCTGAATTCCAATTTTTCAATGAACAGAATTATTCAAGCTCTGGCGTGAGACAACAATAAATTAGATGTTAGCAAAGATTGTCCATTTTATGATCTTAGGCACATGTCAGCGCACTTACATGTGAGCCGTCTGGACGACTGTCTGTTTTGTAATTAAATGGCAGCTGCCATCCAGCCGAATACTTAATCTTGAGACCTATTAGTTGTCTCAGCACTACACAATCAGGAATCTAAAAAAAAAAAAAAAATCCTCATCCTAACCGACTCCCTCAGTGGACTACAAGCCCTCAAAAATAAAAACACTAAAAACCACCCCAAACTAATAAATCAAATACTTTATAGCTCAAACAACTTAACTAGGGCAGGTAAACAAATAGAGTTCATTTGGACCCCCGCCCACGAAGGAATCTTTGGAAATGAAAAGGCAGATAAAGCAGCAAAATTATCCCTTAAACTCCCAGAAATAAGCTTAAACTTACCCAGCTCAAAATCAGAAATCAAAAGTTTCACTAAACAAAATATAAACAAAAAATGGCAAAATATATACCAAAACTTAAATAGCCAAATCAGGAAAGTACTAAAAAAACACTAAATAAACCAAAAATACGTATACTACACCCATCTAAATAAATAGACAGAATAATTACTAAACTACAAACAGGACACACTAAACTAAAGAATCACCGTAAAATAGCTAATCTACACACAACAGGAAACTGCCCACATTGTAAACAACAAAAAACACCAGAAACACGTATTCATTCACTGCACACACTCACTTTTCCCCTTTTTGGAAACACATTAAATGGCCTGGCCGGGCCCGTTTGCGACATATGCTTGCAGTCGGAAAGCGCACGTTAAATCTCCAATATAAGACAGTGTCTTTTCGAGTCAAGTGCGGGTCTCTCTCTCACCTTAGGGAGAATGCGACTGTAAAAGCTCCTCGCTAGACAGACAAGTAGTGAATGTTTGAGATAAATTTATTATTTATTATATATAGTTTAAACTCAATAAATAATTCATAGTCTTTTTATTGTTCAAATTACTGATAAAACATATTTTAACTTGTTCCTTCTAACCATATTTCCAAACAATTCCAAACCATTCCAAGTCATTTCAAACATTTCCTGTGTTTGGAAATGTTGCCATTCCAATTTTGGATTTTCTGGAAAGATCGATCCTTCCAAGCTTTGGAAAGTTTGGAATGAGCGATCTTTCCAAAGCATTCCAACGTTCATTCCAAATTGGAATGGACGCTATTTGGTCTTGTGGTGTATTGTAATTTCATAAGGTATTTTGTGTGATAATATTTTTTACAAGTACAATGTATATGAAATGACGACCACATCTTTACAAACGTACTGTGTCTCGATGGGGAATTTTCACAGTTGTTGATATATTTCTGGATGTATTAGCGTTGTTATATATTCAGGAGAATCAATAATACACATCGCTGGCAGGTAGAGTCGTGAGATTACTTTAGAGCTGTGTGACAGTGATTTGTTCATCTTCAGCTTTATTCATGTACAATGCTAAAGGGAGCACGAACAGCAGTCTTAGGCGCTGCAATGTACTGTGCAGGGCTTTGTCCTTTGGGGCTTGCAATGTTTGTTTGTTTAAGTAACGCTGGACTCAACAGTTAATATACCAGATATATGACAGCGGTCTGTAAATAATCTAGTCTAGACAAGACAATTCAGTGTTTGAGATATTGAACATCGATCCACGCAAATGGGATACGATGACATGGATCAACCAAGTCAGCGAGCCTGAGTACCAGATCCCTTTACCTACCTCTTACGACAAGCAGGGGTTGCTGAAGACCTGGATATTCACGGGTGGGAGTGAGAGAGTTGGGTTTAACGCCGCTTTTAACAGTATATAGAACAAGTCTTGTCGCGTTTATTAAAACTGCTACAATAGCTTCTTTTTGGTGGTAAGGTAAACAATAATAATTTCAGTTTGTGGGCGCTTTAGAAATCGCCTAACAAAGAAAAAGAAAACATGGCATCTGTGTTGCACAACGACAGCTTACATAATACAATTAAATATTTTTTTATATATCCTGTGTGTGTGTGTGTGTGTGTGTGTGTGTGTGTGTGTGTGTCTGTGTACGTGTGTGTCTGTGTGTCTGTGTGTGTGTGTGTGTGTGAACCTTGCTGCAGTTCAACATCGGTACCCGGCTCAGACACATTACACTGACTCCGAGTTTTACCCCCAAAACATCGAGCGTCAAGCAGGATAGCAACAACTACCATCTTTTTCAGATATATTGGTATGTTGCAACCGGGAATCGAACCATCGACCTTCCGCCCTCTGGGAAGACGCTCTATGCAGTGGACCAAGAAGACAGTCGTAACGCTTGGTTAAATATATCTATTTATTTTAAATTAGTACTCAATCCCGGAAAAAAACTGTTCTTACGAGGAGGATGCTTAAACTTGTCAAACGTGTGTAAAAGCGGAAAAGGAAAACATAAAATCGTGCAGGTTGTACATTGAACAAATAAATAAAGATTTCTATAAATATTGATAAAACCAGGAGGAAAACCCGTCAGAGGCAGATAAGCTGATTGTGAAAATTTTTACTTCCGCAATAATCTTTTTAATCGACCACTGCTTCCTGTCACTCTGACCTGTAGAGCTTGTGTAACTACACAAACGACGTTATCGAATTGTCGATAAGGAAGGGTACCGGTGGCACAGTGGTTTCATGCGCCGGAATTTCCTGAGCAGAGCAGCATCTTTTGGCCGTTTCCTGGATCCGCTGGTCCAAGATTCGTACAGTATGTGGTCGCAATCGCATATACACAATCGTATGATCCTCCAATTCATCTTTGAGTACCATATATGTGCTTGTCGGCTTCACTGAAGAGGTAAATGCCTTTAAACTGCATTCATGTGGGCTTTTCATGAAACCGCAATAGTGTTCGAAACAGTGTTAAGCCAAACTCACTAGCTCATCTTCAGCGTGGCTGAGACGCCGTGGTCAACTGCAAGTGACTTAGAAAGAAGCATAATAGTAGCGAAAATGTGCAAGATTCTGACCACATCACGAGCGAGTGTTTAATTATCACTATCAAATAATGCTGATATGAGATGTTCGCGAAAAGACGAGCGTATCCTGCCCAACCGGTGGCACCCATCACAAACACTTAAGGGAAGTCAATTGCTCACCTTTCGTGCGCCCTGGCGTTCTTTAGTACACATTGTTCTTTCATTTCAAGTGACGACTTTTCGTAACATTTAATACTCTATTCATAACTTTGGACTATTATTGCGTATTTTTGTCCTTTATTTCAACATTGTATTTTCTGACTGAATGGCCGCACATAAGTACGGAGATTAAAGGTTGTATGATACTGATACTATTCTGCGGGAAGTCAAGATAATCGCGATGGAATGGTGGAGTGCAGTGAGGAAGGGTGTAGCACTGCAAAGAAACGCTGAGGTACTGGAAAGTGTAGCACTGCAAAAAAAACACCTCCGAAATGCAGTAAGTAAATGTCTTAGAATTGTAAAGAAGTGCTGAAACACAGGGAGTGAAGGTTGTATTTTAGCTGTACTGCAGTATCGTTCAAATAATAAAAGTGAAACCGGACAGTCCTGTGATTGATATTGTGACGACTGGCAGTGCGAGATAATGCAGTACAGTGAGTGAAGGTTTTAGAATGGCGAGCGAACTCTAAAGTACAGTAAGGAAGACTGCAGCATGGCAAATTAAGGTACGTGATTATACAGTGAAATACGGTTGTAGATTTGCGAATACGCTGAAAAAAAACTAGACTATTTGTGACTTCGGCTTTAAACACGTAAAACTCTTCAAAAAAAGAAACGCAAAACGGATATTTTGGGCCATAAAAGCTAAATTAGAGGACCAAGAGGTGCAAAATGAAGAGGTTTAATGTGTTATAGTGGATCCTAGATCAAAATGATCACTACAAGGACATGCAAACCATTAGTCGGGAAACACGTACGGTTCGGAAAAACGCACCTAGTGCATTAACTAAAAGGCCAAGGAGCTGCACGTACTGCACGTGCAGCAGCACTATAAACATTATTAAAGTGCAGGATTTTTATTGCCTGGCATCTGCGGCAATCGAAATGTGACAGTTCAAAAACATGCTAAGATTAACAGAAGTGCACAATAAACAACGTCATTGGCCGCTTGCAGGCAGGTGAATCCCAATCAGCTGTAGCAAGGGTTTTCAATGTAGCCCACCATCACTAGGCTATGGGACCGGTTTCAACAGCATGGGGCAACAGGGATCGACCAAGGTCGAAACTACGTACAGGAAGTGGACAGGTTTGGTGGGGGTGAGCGACTTTCTCTCATCATGGCAGGACAAGTTTGGTCAATATCCAGGGCAATCTTACGGCTCAACGATAAACAATGAAATTCTCCTACCACACGTCCTCCCAATTACAGCCAACGGCAACGGTGTATTTCAGCAAGACAACGCTCGACCGCATACAGCACGGATCACACGGACCTGTCCACACAACAACAAGGTTGATGTTCTCCCCTGGCCCTACAGATCCCCGGAGTTGAACCTGGGGATGGATTGAATAGGACGAAATAAACTTCACGAAATAAAAAACAACAATCGGTCATACCTAGATGGGTTGTCAGTCACGACATGACGAGGTCGTTTTACGCCGATGTCGTATTGGCCACAGTCGGTTTACCCACGAACATCTGCTTAAGACAACTCCTTGGTGTATCCCTTGTGATGTGTAGGATCAAAACCGAGGGCAAGTTTTTGATCTCACGTATGAACTGATCAAAGATATGATTTAGAAATAATTTTACTAATTGGTATAACCATGAATTCATTGATATTTACTGTTGAGAGTTCAACTGCAATACGCGGGGAGTACATCCGCTCTGCACGTGGCGCACCTGCTTCAGGCCCGTTGTAACAATGAGCGCACGTGGTTCAAGCCAGTCGAATGAATTCCACTGAAGAGGATGGACGCAGACGACGACGATTTATTTCTGACGCAGTCAGTTTTTAAAGAATCGGCATCCTGTGCTGACAAGGAAAGTGATGACTTTAAATTCCGTTTTGGAGATCTACTCTCCGAGCGTGAAATAGCCAAGAAAATTGAGATCTGTGTCCCTAGAACAACACGTTATAAAAATGACTGGGCATTCTCAACATTTAAACGGTGGCAAGAAGAACGCAAGTCACAGTCAATTGCGGACAATTTGGAATTACCGCAAAAGTGCTTGACAGAGGATATAGTCGAAATGAGCCTATCTACTATGAACACTGCTTTCAAATATTTCCTTTTTGAGGCAAGGAAACTGGACGGCGCCCAGTACACGGCGGATACTGTACATGGACTGTTTACCGCTCTTCAGAGTGGCTTGAGGCTTAAAGGGCGAAAGAACATTAATTTGTTCGAGGATCAACAGTTTGAAGAGAGCAGAACATGTCTGGACGCTTTAATGAAGGAACTTTCTAAAAAAGGACTGGGCAGCTCTGCCAGGAAGAAAACTGAAACTATATCAATGGACGACGAAGAGCGCTTGTGGAGTAGCGGTTCATTAGGTGAAGACGACCCTCAGCAACTTGTGGATATTAATGTGTGAACCTTTTTGAACACAAAAGTTTAACAGTTTGTTGAAATAATTAACTGAAGTTTCATTATTGTTCATATTTGCCGTTGTCTAAAATACATATTTTCAAAACATTTACACGGGTTTGCATTTCGCACTGCGAGGAGGAAGATAGCATAGAGCGCTGAGGCTGTTCTCGAACACCCAAATAACAGGTCCCCACACTGACGATAATGGCAGAAAGTATCTACTCTACACGGAATCGAAGACGCGTCAAAGACTAATCACAGCGGCCTGAAGCACAGGAAGCTGGTACCGAAACAAGTTCGAGCGTATGAGAACACGGACAACCCTAAAAGATGTTTTGTGCGTCTCTTTGAAAAGTACAGGTCTTTGCGGTAAGTGTTAAAAACACCAATGCATATTGCATGTATTACCTACGTTTATTTAGGGGTTTGGGAATTATGTATTTGATAATCGCTTTATATAAATCTTGACTACATTCTAAATTGTGAATGAAATTTTCAGAAGGTGGATTATCAGCCCACTCAATGCATTGTTTCACAAAAACAAATATTACAAGTGTCCCTTTCTATCTTATTTCCCCCAGCAAACCTGGTCAACATACTGAATACTTCTACTTCACTCCAAGAAGGACTAGAACGTCGAAAGACTGGTATACTGCAAATGCCATCGGCCACAACACCTTACAAGTTACCGTCAAAAGACTGTGCAAGACGTCCGGTATTGAGGGCATGAAGACAAACCATTCCTTGAGAGCCACGGCCGCCACTCGATTGTATCAAGGTGACGTTGATGAACAAATGATTTGCGAAATTACCGGTAGGTTGATAAACATTTTAGTCTTGCAGTAATAAGAAATTGTTATTCAGCAAAAGTCATAACATATCAAAGAAATATTTTTTTCCAAACCAGTAAGATGGTAAATATCCTGTATTAGGAATAAACACTATGTATTTAGCTCGCCAAGGCTCGCTAAATACAATGTTTATTCCGAATGCAGGATATTTACCATCCCCAAACACACTCGCGTGATAACCTCTATATATGCAAATGTTACGATACTGTACCTGTCTTCACGAATTATTAAAAATTGGGCATAACGTTCACGGAGACGAAGGCTATAGATACAATACTATATTTGATTTTTTAGATGATAAAGTACATCATTTGATAATAAATTCAGTTATTGATATCTAAAAACCGATTTGCCATATTAATAAACATTTCATGATAAAACAAAATCAAATGTGTGATATAAATTCATTCTTTAGTATCCATAAATGAATTATTGATATCATATAACGAATAAATAGTAAAAAAGCGCCCTATATATTGTTCTTTGTGGATTGTATTAATTAACGCGATTGCATCGCGGTTATAGTGTTAATTGCTAGTCTTGTTTCTGCACCATCATTTCTTTCATCAGATGAAAAACTGTTTAAAAAATGGCAACTTATAATTAACCAAAGTAATAATACTTACCCGACCTGCGTTTATTTATATCTCTGTCATTATTATCGTTAACATGTGTCTACTTTTAAGTGTATTTACTTATGCCATACTTCGTACTGATTAAGGAATGACACATCATCATGAGATATATGTACTCCATACACATGAAGCACAGCGGTACTTTGATTCTATAGCACAGGAAATCGTTACCCCGAGTTACTGTGTAACGGATTCTTTTTTTAATAAGGCGAATAGAGCAGAGTAAACTTAGGGTCTATCGGCTGTTGTGTGAAAACAAAGCTTCAGAAAGATCGACGTCCTGGCCCTATGAACAAACCTACAGATTACTGTTTGAACGTCAAAAGTGTCTGTCAGGTTTCTTAATGCTTAATTGCTTTTGCTGGAGAATATGTTTCTTGTACAAGCGCTATAAAACATGTTAACATACAAATATATGAATGTTGAAACTGGGCTTAACTTCAGTTTTCCTTTACTTAGCAAGCCCCTCATACTGTAAAAAACAGCCTAACTGTTTATTTTGCTTTATCCAGCTATGCTTTACATCTAACAAAGCTATACATTACTTATATATTAGGGCTTAATTTCATCTATATTTAAAACTTTCTCCTTCTGTTAAAATATCCATATGTTCTAGTTTTATATTTGATATATCCGTATTTACATATATACATCATTTATTTACATATATGCATCATTTATGATTTATAGTCAACATATATACCTACCTGTATAAATCTTTACTATACTCAATAATGTAATGTAATGTAATGTAATAGACTCCCCACACCCAACTTTTTGTTTGTTTATGGTAAAAGTTAATAAGAGGAGGTTTTGTGGGGGACTAGAGGTATCTTTTTAGAGGGTGTTATTCTGGCATTACCCACTATTTACTGGAGGATATTGGAAATGAATATAGACTGTCTGACTACAGGTAGGATTTGTTATCTTAACAATCACTGGGGGTTTCACAATAGAGGTGATTTTTACAATTGCCCAAATGATCCTGCTGAGTATTGGAGCTTAGTGAGGTCAAATGGAACATTTTATTATTAGAGGACATTGGTAGTGAATACTTAATACCATCTATACAGGATATCTTCAGGATTTTTAGCCCTTTCCTTCTCTGTGTGTAATTGTAATGGAAAGAAGTCACTCAACAGTTCATGCATTCCATGGTAAACACAGATCAGACTTGGTTAGAATCCATGTTTATCCGTGACAACTTCCCACCACTGACATTGTAGTGAACTTGGAAAGTGGTGATACTTTTTTATATTCATATTATTATAATCTGTCAAACTGTACATAAATGTGTGTGTGTTAAATCATAAAATTCAAAGGGACTGTTCCCTACACCCATCAATATCATAATGAATGAACATAAGTTTATTGTATGGATTATATAAAGCTCTCACTAAGTATATGTTTTACATGCATGAAAGATGGGATTAAGGGAGAAAGGAAATATTTTCCTGAACGTTTCCAATAAATAGTGAAGGAAATTGGAAATTGCTGAACCTGTAGATAGCGTCGAACCCGTGATGGATTTGACAGATCTCACAGGGTAACATTCAACAGGCTCATTACCTTGTGATCATGTTAACATTTTTTCTTAACAGTTTAGAAAAAAAGAAGATATTTGAAGTGAACTACATTCGAAAATGAGAGAAGAAATTAATAGTCAATGTTCAACTCTCTGTTCAGTAAACAACAGTTGTTATTTGAGTACTTTCAAGAGGAATCCCAAACATTCTCTTACTCTGTTATGATATATAATGTCAAAGTGAAAGCAAAGAAACACTATCGTGCAACAAGGCATTTTCCATGGACTTGTTTATTTGCTATTTTGATATACAAGTGTCATATTGATTGAAAAATATACAATATCAACTCTAAATTGCTTCCGTGTGTGAATGCGTGTAGTACTTGAATATTGGCTCCCCAGTTCTCATAATGCTTCATATGAAAGCAAAATTGTATGTTAACATCATCTCTAATGTCAGTGACTGATTTCAAACCGCATGTCTTGGTGTTACACAGCCAGTGTCCCAACTCTCGTGTATCTACATTAATGTTTCGCCCTCGCGATCTAACGTTATAACATTTCAGGTCATAGACATCATCTTATACAAAGCAGATGCGTTCTGGACATATTACCTTTCGACTCCACAGTCTGTACTGTCTTAATATTGACTTTATTCATCTTCGGATGTTACGTCTAGTACACACAAACAGGACCGTTTAGCCTATATTAGGAATGTAGCAGGCAGTGAATATGCCAGTTGGCTAACTTACTGTTGGTAATATCCGTTTTCTTTAAGCAAATAAGAGGATAGTTAGTAACAAAAATATACGATATACAACGCATATTTGCACAACTATCACAAAACCATTCGACACTGACACTACCCCGCGGTAGACTGGACACAGTTATGTGCTCACCGATTAGATAACCCCTACCGACAGGGTGGGGATGGTGGTTCAAAGCGAAACAGACACACCTGTCTGTTATCTAATAAATGCTGGGCGGCGCCTTTGATCTTGCCTCTAACCATGCATGAAGTAGGAGTAAACGATGATCAGGATGGCCTGGAAATAAACAAGATTCTTTCTTGTTGCATATCAAGGTACCAATTCATCGACCACGGGGTTTTCTTATGTATATGTGCCCAGTGTATCCACAATTAACTAGCTAGAATGTTTCATATCTACAAAAATGAATATGCGTCAGTGTGGTTTATCAACACATGTATAATGCTTATTCACGCTTGGAGTGCCAGACTGAAATTGAAAATCATGATAGCGTCAGCAGGGATAATAGAGGTCACAAGACGTGTCATATAAAGATCATACATAGATATGTTTAAGTTACATAGGCAGCAGGCTAGATTATTTACAGCAATATAGTTCAAATATTGTGTTCAATAAAAGAAAACGTTGATTTTTAAGACACTTATTTTTGTACTATTAAACAAACTGTGGACTTTGAAGACATTTTCGCTTATTGTAATAACATCAAGGGAAAAATCATATCTTTCTCTGAAATCCACGGGCATAGTTGCTGTCAAACATAAGAACGTAATCAGGGCGGCCAGCTTTGACTTGTCATGTGCCTTAAAGTGAGTTTAAACATGTCAAAAGCGATTGATCCTACAATATAGGGTCATTTACTCCAACGTTCTAACTGTCAATCGTCTTAACAGGACCATAACGTTTGTTTTATATCGACGACCTGTCTCTATGTTTTAATAAAAATAAGTTGTTAATCGGTAACTGTGCTCCAAATTTATCAACTTATTCATCTATTGTTGCAAACTTGGCTGATTTGTTTACACAATAAAAATTCTAATTGATCATGCACTACTGAGGCAGTCAAGCACCTGTATAAGAAATATAAAAGCAGCCATGTTACATGTAGTCCCAAATGCTGGCAATTATTTCGCCGCAATATAACTGAAAAAATGCTGATGTGACGTGACATATAAACTTACCCACAGACAATACATTTTTCCAGAGAGTGTAGCACAATTTTATCA